TGATGTGATTGTCTCTTCGGGCGATACATATTACTCAAATTGCATTGGATTGTACGGGTCTCCTTGCAGGTAGCCACCACCTACAAGAAGACCCTGCCACAAGGTGACCCCGGCTGTTCACGAGGCTATTAATCAGTCAGCAAACAAGACAACGGTGTTGATACTAAGGTAAGAATTATTGATCTGAATCAATCACAAAAAAAGTAATTCAACGTACGGACTCAATGTGTTATGAGATTTCCCTCCATTTTACCAAACCTTTTAGGAAATAGAATAAAACAATGGGTTCGGAGGTTAAAAAATATCATTGGAAATCTCAACATGAGTAAGATTATGTTAATCACATGGCTCAGATACTTTTTTCAATCATTTCGTTCTCAAACAACATTTCCTAGGCCGATACAAAATTACAACGGGCGATATTCTTATTTTATATATCTTTCTTTGGTGATATCATGACGTCATATTTGAAACAACAGAAGCTTCAGCCAATCATAGATCCACAAAATTTTACAACACATGTTATTGTCATAACTCACATAATGGTGTATAACATGTTTCAATTAAAACATGCAAATGAGACATAGAATGAACTCAGCTGTATCATACTGCTCTTTCGTCTCTCTAGGACACTGCAGGGATGCGAAAGGCTTTGATCTATGACAAAAAGAGGTCAATTGAGAAAAATCAATGCTGGTCAAGCGAAATTTCAAAAACCAGATAGACAGGTGTACTAACCCCTAGAGCAATTTCCATTATTGAATGATTAGGAAATAACATCCTGTAAATATGCATATCCTGAAACGTACCATTATTTGAATGAATTAAAAGGTGACATTCAGGTTACGGCAAAGTACGAGTATAATTCTATTCCCACAGGTCATGTGATCTTTGTCATAGTGATATTTAAATTTATCCCCATCAGCAATTCATTGTGGGTTTGGTAATTTGGTATGTAATACGGTGTCATTATCGTTTACTGTTCATGTTCTTTGTATATATATATATATATATATATATATATTTGTGTACAGCGTGCTTTTTTAAATTACATGATAACTTTTTGCGAAGCCTTATTTTGTACACTGTACATCATGCTAAATTGTAAAATGTTTATGATGTAAATTTTGTTTATAGTTTTCGTGCACAGTGCATAATGTTATTTAGTACAAAGTATACATAGTCTCTATGTAGCATCATTGTTATCAGTATTGTCATACACTTACTGGTAGTTGAGATATGTAAAATCATGAATAACCTTCATCCACATAGATGAACATACCTAAACCTTTAGAAGTTTTCACTCCACGACAATAATAGGTAAAAGAGGGAACAAGTGCACCAAAAGGTCAATACACGTGAGTTCAAATAGATCGTGCTTTAAAGTTAGATTTTATGTACTCTGTTCACATCAAATATCCAAACCTTTCAGCTTGTTAGTCAATATGCCAACAATGTGAAGTCATGTACTAAACAGCATTTGCAATGTATCAACAAATGCATTAAATTAGGCCATCTGGCCGAGTAAGAATGTGAATAGTTTGTAAGGAACAGAATACCTTTGTACTTTCAACTCTAAGGAAGATAGGTGTTATAAAGTTTATATGTTCACGAGTATTTATCCTTTCGTTCTCTGACACAGTGTTGAGGATTGTGTTTGTTTACATCTCGGTATTTCTGGTATTATTGTAATCCGAGAAAAATATCTAAAGAATTCCGCTTTCACGAGAAATCCCTCTCTACAATTCTCAATAGCGTCAAACTATTTAATTAAGAATGTTTTTCTGTAAAGATTTAGAAAGGATTCAGAATGTTATAACGCAACATGCCATGAATGTAATCCTTATTTGAGTACAAGAGATGGTTTATTTACTACGTATTTTCAAACTTTCGAAAGTGTAAAAATGTATTACAGCTGCGTGAGTACTATGAAGGTTGATTTATTTTTCGAAATTCCATAAATATTTTCGCAAGTAAAGCTTCGCCCGTATAAAAATGCCTTTTATGTGGAAATTATGGAACATATAATAATATTTTTATATATGTATTTTACTTTTCAAAGTAAATAGTTTGCTTGAATTCATAGAGTCCTCAATAGAACGTCTTTTCAGGTAATTCTTAAGTTGGGTGGCTCTCAGATAAGCTGTTTTGGCAATAGGTAGCTCATGACTCTAAGGTACACACTGATGACAATCATTTACAATGAAATGTGATACCGCCATAACACATAATCAAGTTGTATGTTTGTTAAGTGTCCTTCTCCTAAAAAAGAAAAGAAAAAAAAAAAAAAAAGAAAAGAAAAGAAAAGAAAAAAAAAAAAACGTGTTACCATTGCTTCATCAAAATTATTTGTTTTATCCTCCGTCTGCTGGCTATTTGTTGGGTGACTGAGATTTTCCCTTCACACGTTAACCTGTCATACTAAAATGTGTCAACAGATAATGCGACATTTCAATGACGTGTTTTGGGTACAATTACACACTACCAGTTCCAGGATACTTCTCATACTTTTCAGAAGTAATAGTATACATTATAGAGCTAACTGTGTAAAAAAAATCTGATGAAAATCGTGTCTACACTATATCATTTTACAGAATGATGGAGTTGAACATGATACGGAATATGCAAACACTAATCATTTCTCCTTCTATAAAGTGTTGTTTGTTTTCAAAAGATATGTACTTTTTCCAGAAGATGTCAAACAAACTATTTTTTCTGTACTAATTTTGTCCTTTTTTTCGCTTTATCAGATCACTTTAGAAATACTAACCTTTGCAAATTGCAAAAGATCAGAGACAATAAGGTATCCCATAATATTTAACTATAAAGGTTTGATTGATAAGGAGGATTCCCGAGACATTTCAATCATGTTTTGCTTCAATCCTTCAATGTGTACCAGAAAGAAGAGAGAAAGAGAGAACTGGTTTACTGACTTTGACCTAGTACCCTAAACAGAATTTAATACGAAAGAATCATGTAGGAACAAATGAATTTACCATTATGATTTAATTGATCACGTAAGTATATGTATAATACCAATTTTAACCACTCCAAAGGTACGACATACTAACGTTTTTCGGGGGCTATTAAAAACTGATTCCTGGCGAAAAGTAAAGGGATAGGGGGGGGGGGGGAGTGACACAATGGGCTTGCATCACTCACCTGGCTTATTAAGCTATTCAGCCATTTAAAAACGAAATTCAAATATGTTTAATAAGTTCTTATATAATTTCCCTATTGAGTCCAGCCTTGGGGTGAAACAGAAGTCAGATTCACTATTCATAAAAACTGCTTCAGAACATACGCGGACAAAATCTTTGTACGGAAGATGGAATTTTAAAAACTTAAATTTCCCCGATTGGGCCCCATCCCTCCCGCCCTAGGAGACTGGGATGAACCATTTATACAGTAATGGTTTCCCTTCATCTAAGAATACTTCAGAACAAATTTGGGAAATACCCATTCATTCCTAAAGGAGAAGTAAGGATTTTAAAGAATGTACACTATTTCCCTAATTGGTTCCGCCCCTCTCATCCCAGGGGGCCAAAATCTTAAGTCTATACAAAATTGACTTCCCTTTTTCCTCAAATGCATCAGACCAAACTAGAGATATTTATTCATTCCCACAGGAGGTGTAGGATTTTAAATGATTAATTATATTTCTCCTTATTTTTCCTATAGAGCTGCGCCCCTTCCACGCAAAGGGGCCGAGATCTTACGTTCACCCAAGAATGCTTCATTCCTGCAGGAGGAGTTGGATTTCAAATAGTTTGCTCAATTTGCAATATTGGGCCCCGTCCCTCCAAGCGAAGGGGGCCGATACCCATCATGCATATAATTTATTCCTCATCACCAAACAATGCTTCAGACCACATTTGAGCAAAATCTAATCATTCCTACTAGAAAAGTAGGATTTTAAAGAATTTATTCAATTTTCCGTAATGAACAACGCCCCTCTTTTCCTAGGGGGACGACACCCACAGTTTATAAAAAAATGATCTTCCTTCTCCGAGCAAAACTGAAGTTGGCCAAAAACAAATCATTCCTATAGGAGGAGTAGGATTTTAAATGAATTGATCTATTGCCGAGACCCACCCTGTTAACCAGCTTGACTGCCAATCACCCAAGAATGCTTCAGACTAAATTTGGGCAAAATTAAATCATTCCATTTTAAAGAATTGTCTCTATTTCCCAAAATGGACCCAGCCCAAGGGGGCCGAGACCCATCATTTACACAAAATACAGTGGTTCCTCTTTCCCAGAGGTTACTTCTGACAAAATTTGGTCAGAATCTGATCAGTTGTGCGTAAGAATTAGCTATTTTTAGAAAAAGTTGACGGACGGACGACAGACGCCGTGCTATGCCAATAGCTCAATTGGCCCTTCGGGCTAGGTGAGCTAAAACAAAACATATTCTTTGAGCCAAGGAAATATATAATAAAACAGTACAGAACGCAGAAATAAAAACATGGATAACAATTTTGCTCAAAAGATAGACCCAACAGTTATTTACAGCCAGCTCAGAGTCATTCGAAAGAGAAAAGGAAATAAAAAAATAATTCCTGGAGCGATTTAATCATGTTATTTTACCTTGCGTAATAAATAGCCAGAATTTCAGGAGCCATATGTATTGACGATTTAGAATATTGTCCGCACACCTGAAATTCCCATTCAACAACATCACGATATTTCATCAGAAATCATGTCACTGTGCCATGCTGATGCCATGGTGATGTTGTTGACGTCAGAGCGATAGACCAGGTCAGGAATGCGCAAGTATTGACCTTATTCCACCTGAATGCCGGCTATCTGTGTGCTAGATATTTCATAACAAAAACATGCCTACTCAAAGAAATCCGATATCCTCTGTTTATCTATCGTCGCAATTAACATCTGTTTCACCTTGATGGATCAAATTTCTGCATTTTTAAATGAAATTTTTGAAACATTAAAGCATGTATTTTACAAAGAAGACATAGAACGAACTCCGAACAAAGATATTCACATTTCAGGACTTTATTCAATCCATCAAAATCCCGAAAATTAAATTCCTTTGAAACAGATCACAAAATCTACTAATTACTGTCTGCTTTTTGGGTTTTTCACCCTGTGATTAGCAAGAACCATTTTGAGGCGGGGTCTCCTTGCATAGTAACTAATAGATATCTCACTGAAAAGTATACAGGTGGCCCGTCTTATGCAGTCAAAAGCAATTAGGATGAAGCTTCTTGCCCAAGGAGATAACCATGACAGCGCAGATCAGTCCATTTCTAAGCTCCTTTTTTGAGAATCAAAAATCTCATCGGGTAGGGTGTGTAGAACCAAGAACCTCTGATCTTCAAGTGAGGTAACCTAGCCGAATGAGCTGCCATCTGTCTAGATTATCGTTTCCAGAGCGTTTATATTTGTACTAATACAATTTTCAGACTTTTCATAACCATGGACACACTATACTACTAATAAAGGATCTTACAAGTGTGTCGATGTAGTATGGAATTTATTTAACAATTCAATCATTTGATGCCCCAAGTCTTAAATAAACTCCATATTACATCAGAGCAATGCAGTATTACATACCATTTACATTTCTAAAATAAATCCCCGCAAAACTTCATTTTCCATAAAATACAGACTTGCTTCGACGCGGACGGTGCGCTTTGTCACTTCCGAGACAATCATGCAACGCCATCAAAATGTGGCTTAATAATGACGTGACAATAGTGTTATGGCACATGCCATAGTCGTATTACAGGATACAACAGATCACTTGTGTGATAAAAATAATTTTCAGATCGTGGAAATTATTACTCGCTTTTTTAGAGGATTGAATCAAAATGGAAAAATAAATACCATGAAAAGAAAATTAATACAGTGAACAAGTCTGTTTCATCCTCTTTATGTCTCCAAATCGTTTGTAAAACCGCGACAATTTCAGCCTTCGACAACCTACAGTAACCGACCTTCCGCGAAGTTCACATTTCGCTGTTGTTTCGGGTATGGCTTATTTACGGGTATCAAATACTGCATGCTAAAAACTGGTGACCATGTATCCTGACATTATACATTTTCTGATATATTCAATCACTGTTGAAATGTTTGCTGTTTACTTAATTTCTTTACAGACCGCGAAAATAGCGAAATTAAATCCCTCGCGAATACTACCAACTATACAGTTTTAGACCTAGATCAGGAATCTAATGCAAAGGTTAAACTGATGCTTTCCCATACATATTTTCAGAAACTGGTTTCTGATTTTTGTTGTCGCGTAGGGACAAAATGCCGTGACTCTAATATGTACAAGGTGTCTCAAGACTTCTCCATTTCATCTCCCCAACAAGATCGGCAAATATCGTCCAAATGTTTTAAATGGGCTTGAATAAATCTACCTAGAGCACTTGATTTCATCCAGTCGAGTAAATAAACAAACAAAAGAGTTCCTTCGCCTGTTGAGCTGCCATTATGTCATTGTATGATGTTCTACTAACGTTTCCGTCTACAGAATGAATGAAAAAATATCACAGCGTGATTTTTGTAAAATTTGAGTTTCTTACATTGTGTGTGTAAGAATATGAGTGTAGCGTAACTGCAGAATATTAAATGAACAGATGTCGATTCAAGAGACCAAAATAATTTAAAACGTGATCAGAGAATGAATCAGCAGAAAATAAAATGTACCCAGTAAAGTATTTAATTGCATGCCATTATAAAGCTACAATGTATATTTCAAACCATCATTCAAACCATATGTCCATGGTAGCTAGAGACGTTCATTGACGTTTTATCGTGCTTACTGGCTGTCACATTCAACCGGCACTATCCCCTACCTCCCCGACAGGACGCCCACACACGTCAACGTGTATCACACTCACCAAATCAAACATAAAACGATAATCTTGAATTTAAGAGGAAACATTCTTAAGTGACTTAATTAAAAGCTTTCTATATCGGGATCTCCCAGGCAGCAATTCTTTCTTAAAATGACAGCGTATAAGACAAGGTGTGACGCCGATAAGTATTACAGACGTTTATACACACACATATATATATATATATATATATATATCACATGATAATGTACTTTCCTCAATTTCCAAGCGCTTCAAACACACCCACTGTAAACGAGAAGTCTATTTCGCCAATACATCTTTCGCTGCTAAACGCTTTGTTGATTCTGTCTTGATTCATGATCACTAAAACGATTGCAGGCGCCGATGTCAAACTGGGCTATTTAGACCGTTTTAATGACAATGCCGTAGACTGATATTTCGACAGCACCCCCGCAAATGGTATCACATTTCTCCCAATGGCCACACGTCTACATATATGACTGCTTCTAAGATTTTGTATCCATTGCTTTTAATCTGCGTACGAGCCACTCCGCCTGCAATTCACATAAAAACAATGTTACAAAACGGCAAACGGCTTTCCGTAAATCAACCACAAGTATTCAAAGCACTACAAGATAACCATGATCACTAAAAGGATTGGGTCCCTTGATCATCAAACTTCTTATATTTTAAGTTTTATCTCATTTTAGGGCAAATTGCATCAAAGGAGCAGTTAAAAGCACGATGAAAAGTTCCAAATCAGAATTATAAGTTAGCTTATCAATTATTTTAAAACAGTATATTCCTCGAAAATGACATTGGTGGAGTGTCTGACTGGCAATCTATATATAATCTTATAAGCCCGAAGTTCTTTCCGAGATTTTCTGTGTGTACATTCGTTGTTATTGTTTCACTTTAAAATTGAATTATGACACTCCTTGTCTTTATGAACGTTAACGCGGATCTAAGGGTACTTTAAAGCTTAATTAGTTAAAAGGATATAGCTGCATCATAAACACTTGGATTTGTTATTTTCTTAAAAATCGAATATCGATATTAATGTTTTCCAGCTAATGTTTGGAGGTTAACTCCTTTGTTCTTGAGGATATAAAAAATATGGCAAGGACATTTATGTGAGAATCAGAATAATTTCAGATATACCCTCCACACCAGATATATAATCATTAGAATTATCACATGTGAACAATCTTCCACACCAGATATATATTCATTAGAATTATCACACGTGAATAATCTTCCACACCAGAAATATATTCATTAGAATTATCACACGTGAACAATTTTCCACACCAGATATATAATCATTAGAATTATCACACGTGAACAATCTTCCACACCAGAAATATATTCATTAGAATTATCACACGTGAACAATCTTCCACACCATAAATATATTCATTAGAATTATCACACGTGAACAATCTTCCACACCAGAAATATATTCATTAGAATTATCACGCGTTAACTATCTCCCACACCAGATATATATTCATTAGAATTATCACACGTGAATAATTTCCCACACCAGATATATATTCATTAGAATTATCACACGTGAATAATCTCCCACACCAGAAATATATTCATTAGAATTATCACACGTGAACAATCTACCACACCAGAAATATATTCATTAGAATTATCACGTGTAAACTATCTCACACATCAAAAATATATTCATTAGAATTATCACATGTGAATAATCTACCACACCAGAAATATATTCATAAGAATTTTCATATGTGAACAATCTTACACAACAGAAATATATTCATTAGAATTATCAAACGTGAACAATCTACCACACCAGAAATATATTCATTAGAATTATCACGTGTAAACTATCTCACACATCAAAAATATATTCATTAGAATTACCACACGTGAACAATCTACCACACCAGAAATATATTCATTAGAATCATTCGAAGTCAATAGCAGCCGCCAACATCCACAAATATATTCATCAGAATTATCTCATGTCAATCGACGCCCTCAACGCCCACAAATATACATCAGAATTATCTCATGTCAATCGACGCCCTCAACGCCCACAAATATACATCAGAATTATCTCATGTCAATCGACGCCCTCAACGCCCACAAATATACATCAGAATTATCTCATGTCAATCGACGCCCTCAACGCCCACAAATATACATCAGAATTATCTCATGTCAATCGACGCCCTCAACGCCCACAAATATACATCAGAATTATCTATGTCAATCGACGCCCTCAACACCCGAAATATATATCAGAATTATCCCAAGTAAACTACAAACTACCTTCTATAAACCGCATAAACAGAAACGATAACCAATTCGTTAGCTGTAGACATCTTTGTGTCTTTTTCGGAAAAAAAGGTTGTTTTTTTTCATGAACTAGGACCAACTTGCTTCTATCAACGTTAGAGACGTTGTGGATTTCTGTAGAATTTGACATTTATAATTAAAGTAGAATATAATGAAATCTGTTATTCAAAACGTTACCAGTTGTGACTAAAATATGACTTCATCTGACATTTCAATGGCAGTTAGGATTATTTGTTATTCATTGTATTTGCCAATGACACACAGGACCTTGAACTCGAATAACTACAGCCTGTCTTTACTTGCATTAGATACACTGAGTCAAACGACAGCCAAACCCTGCAAACAGCCGCAATCATTGAACCAAAAAAGTACACGGCTGAACACAAACATGTAAACACGCAAACAAATAACCGATAAAGCAACGCTTTATATCAGAGATATTTCGTTGTGAAAATGTTTATTTCAATAATTTCCTCTCTGTTATTGTTCTGCTGCTGAAACAAACATCAGAAAACGAAACACGAATACAATTCTAATTGCAGAGTGTCTTTAAAACTCGACACTTCAGTCGTAACGATCGTGTCTCTTTTAGCGAGCAAGAGATAAAATCGCCGATCGGAGTGAAAGCGAATCGACAAACCTTCAAACAGATGATACATATCAAGGTGCCTGGTTTAAGACTTAACAATATAATTGCTTATGATACGTGGTGGTCAATGCGTGGGCATCTGTTATGTCCAAGTTTTCACACCCTTGTCGAAAGATGTTTAGCGGATGAGCGTCAACGATCATGAGCGCCAATTTATCTAGCTGTACATCAAATATAGACACAACCAGCTCGGGTTTAAAAGTGTACCGTTACTACATTTTTTTCTCGTATATTGGTAATTAGTTTTGCAAAACAGTTTCGTCAAATATAGAAAATAGTATTGATTGTTGCTTTTTTTCACAACTAAAATACATTGACGCAGACAGCGTCATGTTTAGGTCAATTATTAAACGTTCCGCTTTCGCCCAAATCGATTAGTGTTCACTATTACCAGTTTTTTCACACGTAATGGATTATTTTATCAGACAGATCCGTGATATTATGGTTAGACCGATATCATAAAGAGAAAGTAACCCAATGTTTGTGTCGTCTGCTTTTAATGAACAATAGCTAGCAGTACGTTTCCTAAGTATTAAACCAATAACAATGATAACCAACCCTTAAAACCCGTCAAAAATCAATTTTGTACAATAATGTCCCATAGAAACAGTGGTTATGAAAATCATCACAATTTGTTTTTTAAGCAGTGTCAGCGTTTTTCCTACTCTTTTCTGTAGTAATGACTCGTTAGGCATTTTTATCCGAAAAAAAAAAAAAAAAAAAACATACTACAGCTAATTTCCCAGTTTTAAGACTATTTCCCCTCGCGATTACTGTATCGGACCAATCAAATCATGTCAAAACGCCACATCGACGGACCAAAAACGTTGACTTCTTAGTAAGTGTTATTGATACTAGAGACATGAATGTAGAGGACAATGGTACAAAGGTTACAAGTTCGGACTATTGAGTCATTATCGGAACTTTTGATAGATGTAAGGTGTTTCCGCATAATTTGGCTTATATCAATCACTCTAGTAGGCCAGGATAGAAGCGCGCAAGTGGCATTACTGTGGGAGGAGACCGAATAACCCGGAGAAAACCCATGTGGTCAGACAGGTGATCCTTACTTCTTCACGTCCAGTCGGAAGATCGAACCCCGGTCGCCTAGGTGAAGGGCGACAGCGTTACCACTGAGCTAATCGACCAGCCATCCTTTTAATATCGATCACTGTTACAGTGTACTATTCCGAGATTAACATATTAATGGAAAAATTGTACAATGACTGATGAAGTTTTACGCAAATGACTGTTGCATTTTGCTTACTCTTCCAGAACACCTGGTTTTATATTCTACTTGTCCTTTTCAAGAGCTACCGTGTAAATATTTCTTGTGTAAATATTTTGCCCTAGTTATATCAAATTCGAGTTTGGATTAGTCTAAAAAACTAGAAATACGCCGCTTGTTATGAAGACAATTGACGCGGTTGTGACTTTTTGTACATCGTTCAACTTCAAGCTTGGGGCATTTCAGGTTCTTTCACGGAACAATATAATGAAAATACATTGTTTTCTGAAGAACGCTTGAATCAGACCGTCAATTTTCCAATGAAATCAAAGAGCTTCGTGGATGCTTGTTTTCATATGATGTCTAACGCAATCCAACCTCATCATTGCATGCCGATTTTAAACATTAATTTTACTACTGATCCGGATTTAAAATGTTTTTTGAGATGAAAATACTTCCTAAGTGAAAGAAAAGTGATCGTATTTGAAAACTTGTACAAAAGCAAATCAAATTCAAATAAGCTTTAGATCAAGTGTCAAATTACACATTCATGCATACTTTGCTGTATTTTATTTTGAAATATAATCCTTCAATTTATGTACTGTGGAAAGATTTTTCGATTTGTTGTTCAAACCAGCTGGTATATGGGTTTGACTCAGGTTTCCGATTTAAGCAACAAAGCACTACTGTTTCAAACGCTGTGAAGCACTGGTATTAATAAAAACAAACAGAACGAGGTTTCTGCTAAATCCAGCTAAACGTTACATATTTTGGTGGCAGCGGACAGATAAGGTGCTATTGATAAATCATTATATCTGCTTTAAAAATAGAAAAATGTCTATAGAGTAGAAGGAGCGAGAAATCCATGAGTTTGAGGAATAGTTAGATCGAGTATGGAATGAAAGTTCGGCAACAGCTTACACATTCCACTCTACTAACGGCTTCAACTACAGGACGCATGTGTACCCGTGACTCTGTATTCGGGTCAAGATCATTTACCGTTGATAGGGATAAAACAGTGTGGGAGGGGCTACATGAACAATGAGTGTGGACAGTCCTCAAATAAACGTGTATGACATCGATAGCCTGGATAGGAATTATGGAGATACGCATGCATCCGAGGAAACAGTTGCGGCAGATACGCATGCGTGAAGATTTGCTCAAGCGGCGGACACGCATGTGCATAATTCCTTTATAGTGGAACAAATACGTTGTGGTAAAACGACACGTAGAAAGACAGGTTTCGAGCCTGGCAACAGTGACAGGACAACACACAGGGCAAGGCCCATCTCTAAGAAGAACGCAATTACGATAGAACATAAAATCTGATATAATACGTTCCTGGTTAGATTCTCGAACGCATTTCGACGCATGCGCCGAACTTAAATGCTGGTCACAGAGGGAGAAAGGTCTATTTATCGCAGTGCCACTGCATGGTCAAGCCCAGGGGGTATTAGGTAATCTTCCGGACAACACCAGTGATTATTAAGACGTCCTACTACGTTCCTTAATGAAACAATTCACTATCCAAATCTGATTGATTTATACAGGGCACAATTAAAGGAAAAATGACAAAATATCGGAATCTTTGCCGGAGTTGGGACAAACTATAAGACGTTTAGCTTACCTTGCATAACCAACAGCGCCTACTGATTCACGAGAGCCCTTAGCAAAGGATCAATTCATAGACGCTCGGAACGATTCTGAAATGCATGTGCGCATTATGCAGTAAAGGCCTTCCACGTTTAATGACACCGTCCATGGAGCTGTGGAGTGAAAAGCTTACAACAAACAAATCGGAGAAGAAGCACCACATAAGCGGTCGTTGCTGAGGACAAACATAATCAAGGCGCGAATATAACACCAAGATCCCAAATATCCTGAAAAAGCAGACAAGCACTACTTGGACCTGGAACCTTCAAGACCGCATTGAGGATACGCATACTGAGCAGACCATTAATGGGGCAGTGCAGCGACAGAAACGATAACATGATTACTCAGTTTCAATCTTAAAACTGCTTACGAGGCCTTTGTGTACTACTCTACGAAGAAGATGGGAACCAGCAAGAAGTTCACCTTTTTGGAGACGGCCCTACAAAGTGCTTCGAAGGCTTTCGGAAATACTGTATGAAGTTGGTTGCGGAATCCGAGGAAGGCCACAAGTAATTCATTGTGATCGCAGGCGTCAACATGAAAGACAGACAACGCGGGGTGAAGGGTCAGCACAAGGAAAGAAACAGTTGCCGGAGAAGCAAATGAAGATGCCAGAAAACGAAGCAATCGTTGATAAGGACGAGCTAGATGTAGGGCTAAAGAATATGATCAAAAGCGGTAAAGTTAGAACAGCTAGGGTGAGGAAGCGTCCTGGAAGCTTCAAGGATCATTATGTCAAGTTCAATGATTAGTCGATTTCTGACACTGAATTCACTTTACCCAGTTATAACCTTTTTATGGTACCTTTTCGTTGGGTGTCTTTTAAACAAATAATGCCAACAGATTGTTAGAGAAAGTCTTTTTGGATAAAATCACATTGAATTTCCTGTTTGATCTTATTCCAAAATATGGGCCACAGAGCAAAACACTAAAATACGAAACGGAGTAAAAATGTTCAATCGCAAGTTCGTTTGAGTATTACCAAGCGAGTCTTGCATTTAATCTGGCATCAAATTGATAAATATTAATGTATCGATAAATATGTCTAATTTGATAAAATCAAAAAACATTTTTAAGCCTCATGTACCCTTAGCATCGATCAAATAAGCGCTCGTTTTTAGGCTGTGCCTATTTTATATTGATTTATTTGAACGACAGGTTAAGATATAAACTTTATTTATTTTACAACAACTACGAAACAAGTTATTTCAGCTTATGTTAATCAGCCTTGTTGGCCCGAATGTACGCGCGAAGGTTCTTTCTGAGGGAGGAAACCAGAGTACCAGATGAAAACCCACGTAGTTAGACAGGTGACCCTTTAAATGTCCGTTCCGGGAATCGATCCCCGGACGGCTAGGTAAAAGGTGAGAGTGTAACTACTGCGCTATCCGACCACCTTGTAGCTTGAGTAACAGCTTTCACATCTTTTGTAGGCTGCACAGCTTTGTAATTCAAACAATCATGAATACTGTATCAAGACAGTCCAAATATTAAGTAGTGTCATGACCGACACTTGATCAAGAGGCGACTAAAGGGAGATAATTTATTTGAATTGACAGCTTGCGACTTTTGGACAATTAACACTCGATTCTGATAACGCAGCGCGGCAGCTAATACAGCAAAGCCCACGATGACAACAGTAGTAGGGGGTATTGAGATGTATAAATACAAAAACCTACAGCTTTAAAACACTTCTGAATCATGGTATTATGTCAAATACGACCATATAATTATATTATGTACATAATGCATATAATTGTGAAATTCGAATCAGATAAATAGTGCAGCCTTACAAATTCGGCGATGCACAGGCACTAGTGTTAGGATTAATTTTAGTATGTCAAGACTACTTTTACAAAAAATATCGTTCGTCCCTGACAATTTTTAATAGAAATTTCTGATTTTTAGGACCACGCACATTCAATGTACATGTGCCATCGGAAGCATACCATAATACCATTGGGGCTTTCCTCATCCGGGATGATGTCCTGCATAGCGAAATAACCGACCAAGTAGTCCCTCTGTGTCTCGAATCGGAAACGATTCTTTGAAAATAGCATGCATGCATACATGTTCTTTACCTCTATAATCTTGAAAAAAAATCGGTCCAATCAGCACGCTGGCTGGTGTTTCTGTGTACTTTATCTCATGTACCTGCTGATGAAATATCAAGACTCTTGATTTTCTTAGAATTTGAAAAAATTATCTGCGTGTTTCTTTCTTATATCGGTCTTTTTAAAGTCTGCCAATGCTATATTTATATATATATTAGGAAATTTTCCAGTGTTCCATCACAGGTACATGTAAATATAGCAGACGGATGCTATTTCACCATACCACAAGTTAGCTGATACCTTGCAATACAGCTAACGTCAGCAGAAACAATATTACGTAAATTTCCAGAGCATATATGGAATTGGTCATTGCAATGTGCGATCATTTTCACACATGTAACTCGCCCACATGGACCCGAATTCGACACTACAGAACGATATGACGGGAGTCAGTTGGTGATAGGTGTAGTAGGTATGCACCATTATATAACTAGTGTGACGTTACACTGTATTATTGTTGGCGTAGAAATGGCGACGGTACATCTTCAAAATAGCTATTCCATTCAACAATTTACCATGTCGATAACAGATCATTCATTTTAGTTTAAATCAAGTGATAATCGACATAAATTACAACATCCGTAGAGAATATAAGAGTAAGTCAGTTATAAGGATATGGCATTAATCCCCAACCTACGGTCCATATACATGTATTTTAGCGGCTAATACATATATGTGGACCATGGCTTGGGAATGCGTGCATAGTCCCTGTGGTGGCAATGATGGTCGCTATAAATGACTGACTTTTGCAGACAAACAAATAGTTTAGCACACTGTATGATGTTTACCTTCATTGCTTTGTCATTTATAGTGACATAAACGCCATAACACGTCAGTTCAGCTATCATATGTTTACATTTGCACATCAATGCCATTATATAAACTACGAAAGCAGAAGATTAAACTGCTGTACCGTAAATGCCACTGCGCGTGATCATTTGCGAGGTCAGTATATTTTTAGGCATATAAATACGGCGACGATTATGATGACGTTTGCACTTACATCGTTGATAATGAACAACAAGATAATTCATTGCTTAACTACTTCAGTGCCATCTATTGTAGCTTTCTCAGAACATTTGTGAGTAGATCTTCAATGATGATTCAAAAACGTCCTACATTTCACTTGCATTGAAATATAGTAGAAATACTGAATAAAGTAAATGTGGCGGTCGGATCCGGTGTTCGAACCCAAAACCTTATCTGAAAAGGTACGGTGTCACGTGGGTTTCCCCAGGGTATTCCATGTTTTCCACCGTATGACCCCGTGCGTGTTTCTTCATGGGTCAACAAGAGTGACTAATATAAGATGGAATAACTTGTTTCGCAATTGTTGTGCAATAAAGTTTAATTTACATTTTCATTTCATGTACTGTGGGCATGTAGGGTAAGTTCGCGATATGACATATAGTAGAAAGTGAATCGTTAATTAAATTAATGTTTTGTTCTCTAACTTTATATACTTACAGTAACAAACCATAACGTATTTGGCCTAAATATACCGCGTGCTATAAACCCCATTTCTGAAGTACAGCTAATAGCGTGTAAATGGAGGTGACTGATACTGTTGAAAGGAGGCCAGTGGAATCCCAACCTGAAACCAACAAAAAGCTTTGAATGTTCTATAGCTTACTTTTAGATACAGTTCAAATTATTTTGAAAAATTACATAAAAATGTTTTTATCGTGACAAGTCGATGCCACTTGTTATTTACTAGTATGTATATTTTGTTATTTAATTATTATCACCAAAAGGATTGTTCAGTTGGTTAATAAGTTCAAGTTACTTTCTGATATTAATCCTAACATTGGTCTATACAATTTAGGGGTTACAAAAAATCGAGGTTTTCATCTATCCGTAACAGATACAATACATGCTACAATGTTAAGATATATCTAGTGTAATACACGAACCCATGTCTTACGGATATTAATAAAGTATAGATAGACACTGAAGAATTCCAATTTCCTACCGATACACTTTATAAAAAATTAACAGAAATATACCTCGCTTCATCAACAGCTGCATTTTGCTGCTTGAGGAAATCAGTGGCTGCTTCTACCAACCTTTCAACTGAAAATATACATGCTTCACAAATGAGAAAGAGTTATCTCCCTTACACCATCAAACGAGAATGATGATTTGACACGGAAATGCATAGTTTTCTCCCAAGTTCTGTTTGCCTTTGCATCTTATAAGTAAATGTACAGCCAAAATAAATACGTACAACGTATCGATACATTATACATCGTTGATAAATTCGATACATTAGTAATCTTGCTTTACAATTATAGATTGTTTACCTAACGGAAGGTGACTGTAATTCAGATTCTTTGGGTCCTTAATATGCTGTTTTGGGATAATGAGGTAGTGATGACGCGTGGCTGGTTTGATGTCTTTGAATATAACAAGTTCTTCATTCTGAAAAAAATGCTTATAAAATATAACATGTTTTAATATAGTCTTGTGTTGATTAACGAAGACCCAACACATGAAAAAAATCTCTTCACAGTCCTCTGATACACAAGTTTGGATAAAGTAAATGTGGCTGCTTTACTTCAAACTCCAGTCTTAGTTGACGGAAATGGGTTTCTTTGTACCTTAGTTGACAGAAATGGGTTTCTTTGTATAAAGGCAAACAAGGAAATGTCTCTTATTCTTGACTAATGATTTTGTTTTCAAATGTCAAACTATCAATGTACATGGTACTTGTTCCGACAGGATGTCATTATGACAAATAAACAGGAAACATTTGGAAATACATAAAAAAAGCAATGTATTGAAAAGATTAGCTATCATGTTGATCTATAGCTACCAGAAATGGAAAAAAATAATCTGATGAGTCATTTTCCATGATTTAGATTCCTGTGTGCAGATTCTTTTCTTTTCTATACTAGGATCAGACCTTGTAGGGACCAAAATAAATCTGTGACATGAAAGGTGGGCTCTTTTGGGACAGGTATATCTATACTTTTTACTGCTGAAAGATTTCCTTGTCTCACATTTGGGTTGACAGGAAATTATAATCTACCTAGCAGTATCAATATCGTATGAATTACGGCTACAATCATTTAATGAAATAACATCAGTAATATGCCAGTCATAAGGGAGACAACATGGTATAAGGAGAAGTAAAACATTAGAACAAGATTCCTAGAATATCAATCATTCTGTGTATTCCTCCTCTAGTAGAAATTCTTCTATACATTCTTTTTTCACTCTTCCCTTATTTGTTTTCTTCTTCATAAGACCCAGACTAGTGTAAAGATAGGCATACTGTATTTTGTATTACACTTATTAGCAAATACAACATAGCAGCAGTTCATATGAAAGCCTTTTGTATGGTGATAATCATTTACATATAAAATCAAATAAAACTGTTTGTAAGCATGTTCAAAACTGTATTTGTAATAATAAACGATTTGTGTAAGTAAACAGATGTTTGTAAAAGTCAATATATAGTTTCATCTACATTGTACCTAGCCTCCAGGACACTTTTCTTCCTGATTTCTTGACACAGTTTCCTTTCTGTTTCGTACTATTTTTTTTAAAATCATGTAAAAAATATTATATATTGAATACAGGGACATTTGATACAATGTATATATTGTATATATAATAAGGTCATTGCTAACTTTTGCATACAAATATGTATGTCTTTATTCTAAAGAGATATTGGTTCAAGGTTTTTGTGTACAAATCTCTGCAATAAGATTTAGATTCAAAATGGAAAATGTTTATTGATGCAGGATAGAAATAAAAGGTGTCCTTTTTCTTCTATGAAGTCACAGGTACCAGTCACAATAATTTCCATGCGTTGGTAGATAACTTGTATTTTCATTACGAAATTAATTGTGACAGATACCTGTGATTAAGGCTGAAGTAGTTAGTGTAGTCTAGTGTGAACAGCAAATCAATAAAAATTAGCATGCCTTACATTGGGTTCATGTTGATATCAAACAGAAGAGTTTGAATTATCAATTTAAATTTTCATCAATTATCAGTTATTGATAGGTAGTGCTCAAACAATATTCCCCTGAAACAACATGCAAGGAACTATTCGTTACTTTAGACATCATAATGACAACCTAAAAAAAACAAAAAACACTTAAAACATATTAGGTCATGGACATTATAACACCTGCAACTTATATTGAAGCGGCTACATCATTCTATAATGTTTTTGATGCAGGCGTCTCGTCATAAACTACTTATGGACTCTGTCTTATCTTAGTTTGGATGTGGTTTTTGATGTCTTGGACTGATATTGTCATTTGAAATATCAAAGTGAAGACTAGTTCATCTTATATATCAACTGCCTTACCAGGCAATTATCATAGGGGCTTGTAACTATGCTTTGGGATTCTGCGTCAGGTAAAAATTGCATGAATGATATGTCACATATGGAACAAGAAGAGGAGAACCAAAGGGACGGTGTTGTGACTTATATTTATGACATGGTTATCACATTTTAGTTTAACAGAGAATCGTACTGCAAATCTCTGCTATGAGACAAAAATTTACAAGTATTTAATATCCTTTTGCTTGCTTCAGTGGGCAAAACTGTTGCATGTTCTAGAAAAGTTAAAAGTTTGTAATAAGAGAGGTTTTAGTTTAACAAGAAGGAAATCTTATCTTTTAATGAACAATTTTCTTTAAATCAAATTACAATGAAAACATATTTATGGGATTTATTAACAGAAGACAAAAAGTTTTTTTCAAGTTAAAAATGTAGTATAGATACAACGATGAATCGTAGGATATGCAATAAACATGAGTCGTTACTGAAAATAATTTTTTTTATATAGAGATACATATAACATGCATATAAAGATGTATATATAAGCCTAGACTATGAAAAAAAATAATATTGTAGTTCCGGAAAAATTATTTCAAAATAAAATAATAAAGTGTTCGGAATCGATTTTTGACGTATGCTTCGGTAATGAAACACTTTATTACAAAAAAAATACATATATAATATATATATACACAAACATTTTTAAAAATGTGTTCCTATTGAGCGTCGAATCACTTTTACGCAATTGTAGGCGTAATGGATTTACTGTGTCATCCACTGGCGATTCGTTTTTTACAACTGTTCAGAGGGAATGATGAAAAACTTACAATAACATGGACTAAGAGCACCAAGGGAGGGTTCGGAATAAAATCCATGGGATTGGTGGGATTATGCAGTGTCAGTAGTTCATTCAATCGTTCAGCACCGATTGTGCAAGAAGTGGGAGCGGAGTCCAATTTAAAGACTAAATCATCATTGTCATTGTGTATATCTGAGTTACGTTGTTTTACTCTCTTACACATACCTCATACAAGATATTGGTTTTGTCATCTTGTCCTCTTGCTATCTTGCAAAATATACATTTAATTTCAGGAGAGGTCGTCATTTTCATGTTATTATTGATGTTAAGAACATCCTAGTAATGTTCCGTTTAGACATAGTACATTTTAATAATAAATCGAGAGAATACCGAATAAAACGACAAACTAATGACTTCCGGTTATTAGACCCGTGGGCGAGTTCACGGGCCGATACTTGTGTACAATATATACACACGGACAGTCATGTTACTATGAGTTTACCATGCAGATGGACGTCTCTGTGGTTCTTAGGGTCCTCATAGACCTCTGTTGTTTGGCAACTGGTTTGTATAAATTTTATTAGAAATATCTAAAACACATCGATTGACTATTCACATCAGCCATAGTTACTCTGTTCATTACAGTATGTTGTTACATGTACGTTAGTTTCTTAGTGCTGAAACCTGGAAGGATCTGGATGTATTTAACTGTTTAACGCAAAGTGGGCCTATATGAACTGCTATATACACATAATGTAAATCTCTTGAACATCCTTATGACACCGGAAGCTTGTAAGACACGTGCGGAAAACAGCATGGTTAGCTTCATTTTGTACGGTCTGAGATACATGTAAACTTATATCTCGAACTCTAAACGTGGCAGAAATTATACACATACACATGAACATTGTGTCATAATCCATGAAAGACACACACAAATATTTAGCGAGGGAGCAACAAAAGCAAAAACGTGTTTCCGCTTTTATTCAAACAGCATAAAGACTTCAATTGTTGTATTATTTTTTACAACATTCCCTATCATTTCAAATGACACCTTGGCTTGTCTATATGTAACGTTTAATATTACTACAAGGTAAGATATGTATGTTACGTAATTACATTCAATTTTGAAACTAGGCGCATATCAGTGTCACAACTTGATGCACCCATTACATTTATGCATGCTGCTACAATGTAGTTCCAGCTGGTACCCAGGTACAATGTACTTTTATCAAGTATACAGCTTTCTTGTTGAATGGTGTATAGTCATGAATTCAAGGTGTCACATAACACATCAGTGGCTTAATATACATGTATATTAATAATAATAAATAATAAAATAACCATAACTGTAAGGCCACCACTGAGCCTATTTTATAAGTTTTAGACCTAAAATCTCTTTACTAATGTGTCAGTTGCTAGAGCAGACACATCACTACATTCATACAAATATGCAGCTTTGTATGTATCATTTTCATGAAGCAAATTATTTGCAAAGCTGTTCTTTTCTCTTTCCGCCAAACCCCCTATTGGGACTTAGTCTTTGGACCCTGAGAAATGGGCTTCTGTCCCATGCACCCCCAATTTATTCCCACCTGTACTTATGTCTATACATCAAAATGGCTTGTCTATGCACCTGCTGTTTGTGGAAGACAGATTATGAATGTATTGTAACCATTGTTGCAAATTTAACATGTAAACATAATGTCATATTATCTTGGGGACAATGGTTTTGAATAACTTTGATGAAAGTTTAAACATTAGCTACATATCAGCGGAGATTAACCCATTGACTATACTCAGTACTGATGATCACAGTTTCTATGGTAGTTACGAGTGCAAATGTTCTGGAATCCTGTCCAATTTTATTTTTGTCTCCCCATTATTATACAATTATGTATATAGAACTACATGCACATACATGTATATAAAGTAATTTTTTTCTGGTCCTGATTATAGATTAAAAAAAATAAAATAGATTTGTAATTTAGTTAGAATCAATAATAATTACAAAATTTTTGTGTTGTAATGTACAACAGACTAAATATTACAAATAAACCTATTATTGATTCCCAATACCATCATTGCAAGTCCCTGTACTGGACCTTACTGGTCGTAGATGAAAGTAATAAAAAGTGGAAAACACTTCTGATGAGGTGTTAAAAGCCCCAATATATCCTTCATTTGGCAAATTAACAAGATTAAGAGAATTTCTCTTTTACTTGATTTATACTAACCAATCTTATATGAAGTTCAGAAGGTTGTCATGAGAAAACATGCCACTAATCTGCATATTCAATTGTACAGGTGTAATAGGCATATTTACAGGTAAAGTGAGATGTTGCATGTGCTGCACACTTTTTGTGACATCATATCAAGTGTAGAATGCAGGTGTATAGTCATTCAAGGGCTCACTGTGTACATGTAGTCTGAATAGGGCATATACATGTTTGTAAAAAATACCCACCTCTCACGGAAATGTCTTGAAATATTTGATGACTTTGATTCAGAAAAAATTGCTTGTATCTTGTATGGAAGACCATAAATGGAGGCATGTTTACAAAAAGTTAATATCAGCAGCTTTTATAACAGCTTTTATATCAATTTTAATGTACCACCGGTGTGCATTGCCTCAAATATTTCTTAATTAAGCTCATTTTTATTATATCAATATTGATACGTAATATTTTCTCTTCACTCGTTTTAGTGAAAGTTGATAATATTGGGGCTTTAAGACAGTGGGCAGAATGAATACACATTATACTTGATCATAATGAAATTATTATATTCCTAAAATGATGTCCAAATATCAAATTAGACTCCTGACTCTGAAAAATAAGATGTTTGTATAATACTATTTTAACTTTTTAAGTTGACAATGCTTTGACATACTGAACTCTGAGATTACTTTATAAACAAGGAAGGTGTTCTGTGTACACACTAACAAGTGGTCTTAGGATAATATCAGATACTGTACCAGGGCCTCAGGGTGGTGACAAAACTGGACAATCAGGAAACCATGGTCAGTAGGTAGTCCCTAAATCAAATAGAGTCCATATGTTTCACCCAGGATTAAGAATGATATTAATGTTAGGTCCAGGAATTTACTTTCTGTGTAGTCTGTGCTGTAGGTATAAGGATATATGTGTATACACAAGCCATTCTATTTAAACAGAGATAGAATTTTTTGTTTTGAAAATTTATATCAATGTACAGAATTGTTTTGTTGAACAGTGTGAAATAAAAGTTCTTCAGTATAATGTTTGAGGTATATACAGAAATATTTCCTGTCAATTCATTGTCAACATGACCTTATACATGTACTTGTCTTTATGAGCTATGAGGTAGGTAAGAATGAATTTATGTCTTACCCTAGCCTGTCCCTTTTTTCTGACAAACACTATCAAACAGGCATATAATGTATGAGAACCATCATCCATGCACTTTATTGGAGTTAAAAGTACATTTGTGTATTCTTCTTGAACAGTTGCTAGTAAATTGTATCTTTCATAAGGATAAAAATATCACACAACCTAATAACTTTTTAATGACAGGATATTTCAGGTTTTATTGATTTCATTTGAAACTAGTTTGATTTTTGTGTCTATTGTTATTTTATTGTCTCAGTCAAAGGTCAGAATATTATAAATATTCTTTTTTTCAAGTCATTTCTTTTTCCTTGAAAAATAGCCCCAAAAAGAATGGGAAGCCTTCCTTTGAATTTATGCATACAACAATATACCCAGAAAAAAACAAATCTTCCTTGTGTAAGTACATTTATGCATTCACAAAATAAGTAGGAAGCTCTACTCTGAAGCCCATTATTATATATAGCTTTCGATACACGATCAATCATGTGGAACCAGAGTCTGAGACAGGTTTGACCCCAAACTAGTAATACCCAACCAGGTATACTATTTCACCTGTTGATGATCCAGCTATGTTTACTCAACCATAACGCATATGACTTTGGTATGGATACACTCATGTTGTCATGCTTTAGGCATTATTTATAAAGATTTATATACTGGTATAAGCTTCATGTTTGTGGAAAGTCATTCATAAATTCAAGATAGCATTTATAGAAAGCAGACAGTTCATGATCGTGTTAACTATTAAGAACAATTATTGCAGAGTTCAACTTGCTGTAAAATTTAATACAGCTGTGACAGTGTCACAACCTCTTGTCAAATAATACACTGTATATGGTCATAACCTTCAAAATTAAGGTTGGAAGGTTGTTTTAAAGGGTCATCAGGTAAAAAGACTTTGTAATCTATTGTATAGGTCACACTTTTGTATGTATTTAGATGATGTTCTTTGATGATGTTTACATGGCTGAATATTATTTTTACTTTAGTAGATCTAGACTCAAAAGTTGATTTGAAATTTTAAGATATTGATTAAAGTAAAGAAATACCAAGTGAATCACCATGATTCTAGCCTCTTTAATGATTTAAGCTGGTAATGACATGGCCAGTATCAAGTTGACCTGATAACATGAGGTGAATTGGCAACACTGTCATAGTAATCAGGAATTAATTCACAGCGTTTATGAAGCCAGAATTCTCTTGAGAACAGGGGAGGGGAGTTTTTCGCTGAAAGAGTTTCATCATTACACAAATAAATGACATCTATTTACTTCAGAATTTTGGAAACAAGTGATTTGATGCAACTTTATCAATATTCACTTTTGCAATAGAAAAAAGTTATGAAAAAATGCTATGGAATAAAAAAGATTACAACAATGAGAAATTAACAAAAAAGGAAATAAATTTTTAAAAATTTCCAGCCCTTAAACTTAATTGAAATATTAATTTTTTTCCAGTGTCGGTGCCAATCCTTATACTTAAACTTGTTGTGAAGCCGTTTCATCGTGGATTCTATTGTGACGATGAGAGTCTTATGCACCCACACAAACCTGATACCATTCCAACCTGGGCTGCCTCCATTGCTGCCCTTGGGATCCCAATCATAAGTGTGAGTAAAACAGGATACTGTGCATACATGTACATTTCAACTTTTTCATATTGTTATCGTTTGTCATTCAAATCTTTGACATTATAACATGTAAATGGTATAACAGAGGATAGGATTTCTTTGGAAAATCTAGAAAATAAAATTTAGATGGAATACTTATGGGCAGTATATCAATAAAGGTAGTTACATGTAGCAGAGGTAATGTTATTGGCAGTATATATCATTATTATACTCCACTGAGGCTAATTCTTTGCAACTGGTAATGTAGAATTATACCTTTTAATTCAAATGTTTTAGTGGGGATCAATTTTCATGCTTTTCCAAAAAAAAAAAAAATTGATTTTTCGTTGACACGTGATTTTGTAGCTTAATGCTGGTAAATCAGTCTACTTATACTTATTTTAACTGTTCTCGGATATATACTTTTGTGGATTAAGATAACCCACTAACCAGACTTTCAATGCCATAATGTACTGTTTTGTGCCTGGAAAGTGTGAATTAATTTCTTTTTAATAGGTATAAGAGATTCTTTTATCATAAATTGTTTATTATAACAAGAACAAGTCAGGACTTGAACTTTACTTGCACAATGCTGCATCAATGCACTTTTTGTTGTTTGGGAATCAGAAAATCTCAAGACAATCTGCTTTTTTATTACATCACCCGATACAAAGTCTCATGGTGACTTATTGCAATCACCTTTGTCTGGCATCATACATCTTTCAACTTTGAACATTTTCGAGATTTTCTCAAAGAACCCTGAACTGAAATTTTTTTTAGAAATCTGAGGGGTTGGGGAAAAAGGGTCAAATTGACTGAAATTTTAAAACTCTTCTTCTCAACACCCAGACATGGTAAAAGCAAATGTTCTTCATGGATGGAGGCATCTAAGGTTGTGAATTTCTTGGCCCCAGGGTCTCACATTTCCCTGTGGGAGGGGGTAACATTTACTTTTCATGTTGTTTGTATAGGAAAAATGGTTAGAATTATAAGCAAAGGACGATGGTTGATGGTATGTCTATATCGATCCTAATTGACCTCAATTGGCTGATTGATGGGTGGGACCAAGAGGGGTCAAATTAACTCTGATTTCAAAAATCTTCTTCTCAACATCCAGTTTTGGTAATATCAAATGCTCCTCATGGATCGAGGTGTCTTAAGATACTTTACCAAAACAAGTCTCACATTTCTCCCCTGGCCTGTAATTTTTATAAAAAAATGTATTTTTTACCATAAGGTTGTTTATTTCCCATTGGAAATAACTCTATAAGAATTATAAGTATAGAATAATAGTTTTGATGGTATGCATGTGTTGACACTGGCTTACTTTTATCAATGTCAAAATTTCTTTTTCATGACTCTTAAAAGCTACTTACCCTTTAGCCATTATATTCAAGTGTTTTTATTGGACTGCAGTGATCTTCTGTCTACTCGAGAATGTTTTTAACAATACATGTCTAAAATCCCTTTTTGAAACTGTTGAGATTTGTAAAATTCTACATTACCTGAAAGATGTTGGTCTATATAATAGACTATGACATACCATTTTAATCTTTTGTGTTAACATACCCATTTAAGATTTTTAACATTTGTCTTTTACCTTTTGGTTTGTTTAATGTTATTTCCTTTTGGATCGCTGTGTGTTTTACCGTTTGATGGCCCTAATGACCTTTTATGTGTTGACGGACTGTTGAGAATGTAATAATAATAATTCAACAGTGTTAATCTCAGGTGACCGTCAAGGCCGCTATGCCTCTTGTTTTAATCTTTAATACCTACCATGGGTAGGTAACTCAGATTCGAAGTGATAGGATGCAAGAGATGAAATTGATCCAATGTGCCTATTTATAAAATTAAAGGAGAAGTGCAGTTCTCATCTCAGTGGTAGTACTAATTGTAAATTGGCTTTCATATTTAATAACTTGACATTATTGTGTTGTTCTTGACACCTGGTCTTAATATCTTTGCATCTTATCAAGGATCTCTGTTTAAATCTTCCATTTGTTCATATTTTGCCCATATTTCATCAATGTTGAGTCAGAATGAAGATTTTGTTATTCTTTTTTGTTATTGTTGATGGGTGCAAATTTTTTTTTCAAACTTGCAGATGGTACTGATTGAAGGCCTGCGCATGTCAGTATTTAAGAGAAGCTGTCATTGTGGGGTTGTACAGAAACGTTATATTGAAGTCCTCTACAAATGTCTTGGCACATTTCTATTCGGGGCAGCTGTGACCCAGTTAAGCACAGACATTGCTAAATATAGCCTTGGAAGACTCCGGCCACATTTTCTGACTGTGTGTAAACCTGACATTACAAACTGTTCAGCGATGACAGGATACATTGAGACTCATGTCTGTACTGGTACAGATCTTGCAGTCATTCAAGAGGCAAGGTACCATATAATTTACTGCAATTTTTACTAGAAAAAACAATTTTACAAAGTTTGTGTACATATAGCATAACATTGGTCAGAAGACTTCAAGAACAAACTATTGATTTCTTAATGTTATTGAAGATAATGTGGCCATAATGTGGTTATCATCCTCGTCTCATCATGAAATAATCTTCTTTCAAGAAATTGATTTTGATGTTTTCAGTGCTCATCCATATATATATATATATATCCCCGTTCTATAAGATGTCAGAATCTACAATGTCAAAACGAATCATCAAGATTTTTTTGTCAAACTGTTTAAACCGTACCTAAATACACACTGAAGATTGCATCAGGCCACAATTAATAATGTTATTAACTCCCCTTTTATTATAACAATAACATTACGTCACAATGTAGGTTACTAAGTAACGTACAGTGTACATGTAATGAAATCACCTGAAGATGGCCGCGAGGCCTGAAAACGTTAGTGAGAACATGGAATTACATTTATACTAACAAAGATGTTGTCAATTTAGCAGAAAACAGCTTTGCAGAAATATTTAATATTATTGTCAATGTTCATTTCAAGGGTGAATTTTTTTTTTTCATTTTTTGCCACCTTGAATTTTTTTAGCCCTTATAAATTGGAATGTTCATTTTTTGTCATTATGGCATACCATTGTTCATTTTGTTATAAGTCAATATTGGACCCACAGGCTATCTGCATCTGAATCACCAGCACAGTCAGTCACTGCATGATCACTTTGTCTATAGCATATTTCATAGTAACAGTTACCACAGTTGCCATGAATGACCATGCACATTTTGAATACAATTTCCATCTGAGTTATGTCCCTTTGTTCACTCCGTATCACTTTTCCTGCCACATGTTTTCAGATATAAGAGTTAGATATTGAAGAGTGATTATACTGTGTTTTTATCGTTTATTTCCAGACTTTCCTTTCCATCAGGACATACATCTATCACAATGTACTGTTTTGTTTATATCATGGTAAGATATCTTGAAACATTTTTGTACGAAAAAAAAAGAAGAAAATCTTAATTTGTCTGAAATACATGTATCAAGTTAACACAATGTCAGAAGCAACCTATGCATATACCTGTGGAAAGAATTGACTACACAGTAAAACATTTGACCTTTCATATTTTTTAAGAAGTGTATTTGATTAATGGAAAAAATATTTTATGTTTGGTGTTTATGCATCAAACAATTGTGGATTGGTCACATAGGTGTGGGGAGGGGCAGTTTTGTGAATTACAGATACCATTATGTCATATTAGCAGAAAATGTGAAATTGTAAAAACTGTGTCCTTTGTCCTGTAGATAACTATTGAAAAAACAGACATTAATGGATATAATTACAGATTTACCTGCAAAAGAGATTTAAATGGCGTAAGTGCTGGTTGCTGCGACCATTCATCCAGGTCCTGCTGTTCTACATGGCTTATTACACCTCCTTATCGCGCATCTCTGATTACATGCATCATTGGAGTGATGTTCTAGGAGGAGCCTTACTGGGGTTGACTGTGTGTCTGCTGGTAGTAAGTTGAACAGATTTCATTAGCATTTTATCATGAGGTTTACATACATTATTATACTGATGGGTGGCTAAGTAAGTGCAATGGTATTACACAGCCTTTAATGTAGGCAACAGGGGTTCAGTTCCCTAATCAGACATGAAAACTTACGAGGTCACCTGTTCAACTATAAGGGATTTTAATAGGTACTCCTGTTTCCTCCCACATCTTGATGGGTTTAATTTCAGGCCAACAACAATGATTCATTAATTAAAGTTGTTACCACTCATTTAAGCATATTTAAAGTAAATGGGGTTTATTATTAAGGAATATGGATGTTTCCCCTAAGGGTAACTTTTTCCAAAAACACACTTATTGAATATGCATGGTAATTATGTTTGTGATAAAATTTTGCATAGTGCTTCAGAATTGACATACTGAAGTTATCTCTTCCTCAGTAAAACCATTTTTTTCCCTTTGCCAGGCATTTTGCGTGAGTGACTTGTTCACAGATACCACATGCTGTAAACCAGTCAGTCCTAACAACAGACCAGAAAATGACTTACCCCTCTATAAACCAACTCGCCAAGATGATCGTCTTAGCATGCAGACCTCCTCGGAATCTACAGTGTCAAACAACAGTTCTCAACATATTGTAGCTGTCTCCTAGCAAGATCATCACACTCCAAACTCTTAAGTACATACCATATATGCCTTAGTTCCACTGCTTACCAACACAATGTGATTAAAAATCCTTTAGTGAATGAATGTCTTTAAAATAGCTTTTGTTTCAGTTTTGCTTAACTTCAGTTAGAATATGGCTATCAACATGTTTTTTATATGGTAGTTTTCAGAGTTTTTCAATAAAACAAAGAAATATTTATCTAAAAACAAAAACATGTTAATGAAATATTATTTTCTTTTTTTAAAAAGAAACAAACAACATGTTTTACTAATGAAAGATTTCTCCCCGCAAATTAATGATCTAACCATATGTATGATGTTCTCATACAATGTATAAGAGTTCTGACATTGCTCCATCATACAGTGTAATAGGTAGCCTGATGTTTTTCGTCTTGATATCACACTAAGGCATTCTGTTTCTAAATTTTGTTTACATTTGATCTCTCATTTCACATTCCATGACTTTAAAAAAAATCAAACAAACAGGTCTTAATTTCTTAGGAATAACATTTCCATTTCAGTTTTGCATGGAATCAAATATTTTTCAAAAGTTGCTGTTGAATTTTGGGGAAAAATTATCAGAAGTTTGTCATTTACTCATTAATTATGATATGAAATATTAAGCATACAGAATCAAAGGGGATATTCTGTGTGTCGCTATGTATCTAATTTTAATATATATGCACCGCTTTGTTTGTCACTTGTTTCCATATTGAACACTATAGATGTTATCATTCAAAAGTATATATTAAAGGAAACTAGTGGTCTTGTGACTTATTTTGAATGCATAGAATGTTTTTGTACTGTTTTTTTTAAATCCTTTTGGAATATAGCTGATAACGATATCACTTGCAATTTTCAATTCAAGCTTTCTACTATTGTTATGCAATACACAATCAATATTTCAAGTTACTGTTAAGTTTGTAACTTATATGGGTCTTATTTTCATGGTTTTCAAATTCACAATGAGTTTCTTTATCAGTTTTATTTTGCCAAAATATCATTTATTCTCAATTTTATGCTATCCTTGAACATACCAGCAGAATAAAACCCCTTGAAAATAACATCTTTTACAGTAAATGTTTGTTTATGAAATGTTACTTTTAATTATTGTTATCCAATATCAACTTCATAATTCCAGTCAAATGACCAGCCTACAATATAAGTGTTCAGAATAAGCTCAAGTACTAAAGTCAGGGAAGTATAAGATATACCATGTATTATCATGTATGTATGCCCTGCTTGAATAAAGCAGTTCTCTCCCTTTCCAATATTGCAATATGAGTTTAGTTTAGCATATAGCCTACAAACATACTGTAATATATCAAGGTCGAAAAGGTATTGAATCAAACAGTTAAAAAGTAATGATACACAAATAATTAATTCAAAAGAATTTTTGCAGTAGAACAAATGCCATGGATTTGGTGTGATTCATTGATAAAAATTTTCTAAGGAATAATTTTTCTTCGGTGCTAAATATGTGATATTTTGTAATAAAAGCAATATAATCATAGTGAATATTTTGAGAAGACATTCAGCCATGATAAGTTTGAAATTTATTTTTAATAATATCCATATTGAAGTATGTTATTAACTTTTAATTATCTGTTGTATTATACAATGTACATATCATTTTTTATTATTTCTAAAACATGTGACTTTTTAAACCTCTAAATATCTAATGCCATTATAGAATTTTTCAAGGTTTTATTACCAACCCACACCCCCATCCCCCACCCCACCCCTCACCCCCACCCCCCACCCCCCAAAAAAAATAGAATGACTTCCAGAAAAAATATGAGAAATTTCCTGATTAATGTATGGATTATTCTTTCTAATGAGACATCTTTTATTATTTTCATTATTTATTTATATATTTCCAATATTTCTGTAATTCCATGAGTGGTTCCACATGCAATTTTCTGACGTTAAGTTTTGTGAACAATAGATCAGAAACTTCATTTTTGTTGCTGTTGATTTGCTTTGTTTACATGTGATGTGCTAGTGTTGATAACAATGTGCTAAAATATAACACAAATTTTGTTACACATGTTTACTACAGTCACAAATAATGAGTGTCAAAACTAACTTTAGATTCTCTTGTAAACTGTTGCTCATTAGTAAATCCTTCTTGATAGATTGTTATTTAAAACAGGAAGTTTGAATTAAAAATATATTTACCAGTTCTGTAGCATATGAAATGTGTAAAGGTGATATAAGTCGGTAACTCAGAAGACAGAGTATGTCAAGATCATACTTATATGTTTCATTCTTGGGAATAATGATGGGCAGAATTACATATTCAACAAAGTATTGAAAAACTAGGAATGAAGTCTTTACACCCTCTCCTGGCCTTGAACTCACAACCCACCACAACTGTACATGCCCACTCTAAGGTCAATTCATGGATTTCTTGTTTCTTATTTTATCATTAGACTTTTTAAAACATTTTGTTATCTTCATTATTCTTAATGTTGATTCATAAACAAACTTTGTTAGCAAGAAATTGTGAAATCCAGTTAAATTTCAAGAAAAAATTGAATGGTATATCTTTGTATAAATGTTATGTAGTACATGGTTAGTTATGTTAATTTCAGAGATAATTTTGTTTTGGAAAATGACTCAAACCTCATGCATACATATTTCACTCAAATAGATATTCTACCTCAAATTACAAAGTTCAATTTTTTTTTTAAATGTTTAGGAAATCCATTAATTAAGACAAAAAAAATTTACTTGTTGATGCTAAACATGTTTATATAAATTTTGATTATATATGTATAAATATCATGACACATTGACAAAACTCATTTGTTTATGAGAAGTTTTACCCTATCGAACAATACTTAATCAGAATGTTTTCTTTTTAAATCAGTTTTGCCTGGTCATGTTCAACAAATTATTTAACCACAGAACAAATTTAGTATTTGTTATAAATTTCATATCCACAATCTCGTTAGATATAACCTGAATAAGACGGCAAGTTATACACGGTTACCTAACTTCACAATACATAATTATCTTTTTAGGTTACCTGACACATAGTCTCATGTTGACCATTTGTGACTGCCTTTTGTCCAGCTTCTTCCATTGTGCTTTGTTGCTTTGTGCATTATAAACTTAAAACCATTTTCGACTTCTTCTCATAAAACTCAAAAATCAAATTCATTGGGGCCCGAGGGGTGGGCCCAAAAGGGTCAAATGACTAAAATTTCCAAAATCTTCTTTTCAATAACAAGATCAGGTAGAACCACAATATTCCTCCTGAATGGAAGTGTCTCAAGGTGTCTTACCAAAGTTGTAAATTTCATGACCACAGGGTCTCACATTTTCCCCTGAGGATAGGGTAAAATTTACTATAGTTTATGTTGGAAAATGATATTTTTGAGCATTATTTGTTTATTGGAAATAATTCAAACTTGGTTATAATTGTTACTAAAGGATTACAGTTTGATGATACACACATATTGTCCCTAGCTGACCCCAAGGGACTGATAGGTGGGGCCAAGTTAGAGTTGAATTGTCCGAAATTTCTAAAATCTTCTTCTTAATACCCAGTAAGGTAGAACCAAATACTCCTCATGGATGGAAGTGTCTTAAGGTGCTTTAACCCAAAACTGTAAATTTCATAAACCCTGGGTCTCACATTTCCTCCCTGAGAAGGAGGTAAAATTTATTATAGTTTATACAGGAAAATGACATTTTTCAGCATAATTGGTTAAACTTGAAAAGAATTGCTACTATAGGATGTCAGGTTGATTACAAGCACATATTGACCCTGGCTGACTCACAAGTGGCTGATGGGCGGGGCCAAAAATAGGGTCAAACTGACTGAAATTTCCAAAATCTTCTTTTCAACACACAAATACTATGGATGAGTGTGTCTTAGGTGTTATAGCAATATTGTGAATTACATGACCCAAAGGTCTCACATTTCCCTCTGGAGAAGGGTAAAGTTTGTTAATTTACATAGGAAAATTACATTTCTGAGGATAATTTATTTTCTATTGGAAAAAGTTAAAACTTAAAAATTATTAGTATAAGATGACTGATGATATGCACATATTGCTCCTGGCTGGCCCCAAGGGGCTGGTGGGCGAAGCCAAAAGGGGTCAGTTTATCTCAAATTTCAAAGATATTCTGGACACCCATATTTGGTAGAATCTATTAAATACTGTTCATGAATGGAAGAGTTTATAAAGTTTTTCCAAGTCAATTTGCTTTACTAACAAGATTATTTATATCACATGTTAAAAGAAAGACAGCATTGTATATTTACATGCAACTCAGCTGACCGTTAGGGCCCTTGGGGCTTGTTAATAAAAAATTCTTGCAATCGGTTTTTAAAGAGTGGCATTTTGTTTATGTACAGTACTTTGTTTTTATTTGTTTCAATACACATATAATATTCCTTAATTACATATCAGTTTATATTTATGTCATTTATCTCATTCTATGTATATGAATGAAATCTTTTCTTATATGTAGTTGTATTTGCTCTTTGTGAATATACCAATTTTACACATTGTTGTGACAACTGATTTTGTTAGACGCAAACCTGATTTTATTTTATTGTCATTATTTATTGTGTGCTATTTATATAACTTCTACAATTTTAATGATTAACAAACTGTATGTATAACATAAACCTGGTGTCTCGACACATGCCAGCAGCAATCTACAATCTGATGTTAAGCATGTTTATATTTGTATAATTGTTTATTTAATTTCAGTATCACATATACATATGTTATTATTATAGAAATATCGTCCATTCCATAAGAACAATTTGTTAAGTGTTATATTTAGAGAAATCACTTGTTGATAAACAGTTATATATGAAATATGCCTTGTACAAAATTTATCATTAAAATATAGATGAATTAACCGGAGTCTGTGTATATATGTTAAATTTCGAATATTCAAATTGCAGATCGATGAAAATTATTAGAATGTTTTATGGTCGTTATAGTGATCTAATTGAGAAATATTCCATTTCTAAGTGCGATATGAACCTGGATGTGTTTACTGCCCGTTAGTTTGCCTGTTGGTTCCTTTGCTGTATACTTTGTTCTCATTTGAGCATGTGACATTATTTCCTTGGATTGACCAAGGGATTAAAGGGATTACGTAGTGGGCGGTGTCAATGAAGCAAAAGACCTATTTCCCTGTACTTTTTTTGAAGTCAGTGTATAAATCTTTCTATTGTTCATATTTTGCCCTATTTCTTTTTTTTTTTTTACATATTTTGTGAATTTGAGTATGGATTATGATTATGTGGACATGTTGGTATTTTCTTATTGTTTTTTATTCAATTCATCCCTAATGATAAATGCATCCTTTCAATTTCTTTCAAATGTCTTATATAATCATTTGCTAGGTAACATAACTGTCATTACCAAGATAAATTATGTGGTTATAAGCTTCTTAAGACCATTTCATAGCATGTTGACTTTGCGAAAAGGTCGAAGTCATTTATGGTAAGAAATTTTGTAGCACATTTTTACTGCATGCATCCAGAAACTTTGGAAGATTTCCAAAGGTTTTTAGCAAATTTGACCCATATGATGTTCAAAATTTTTATCCGAAGACATTATATATACATATTGTATCACAGCATCCAGGGCACCTGTTTCCTTGTCTACTGGGACTTCAGAAAATTTTTTCAAGGTTTTTAACATGTTGTGCAGAGCTCCATCGAAGGGCCATACCAACTTAATATCAGTAAACTGTATGAAAACTCGGCCGAGACTCTGTAAAATGAGAAACTTGAATCATAAACTTGATGTTAAGGTAAACTCATACAAGATCCTCTATTTGTGGCCCACTTCAACTGCTTGTCAAATTAAATAAGTGTAACAGTTTGAAAAGATACCAATGTTAAGGCAATAATGATTGTGTAGTTTGTATTGAAACCGTTTGCTGTTTTTTATTCTCCTGCAAGCTGCTTGCGTCATTTTGATGTCAGACTTCCTTTCGAAAGAAGGTGTTACTTTATTAAACTAAATGCTTGAGGCCTGTCACATGGCATCCAGAGAAATCAGGGTAAATAGTCTTACCCAAAGATACAGCCATGACCACGTGGACTGGTCAATTACTCAGGTTCTTGAGAAACACAAACCACCACAGAAGGGAGCATTGAAACAAGAACCTGAAATATTCACATGAATTGCAGCATTTCCACTCCTTATCTCCACCCCAAAAATATCACAGCTCATGCCCCAAATATTACTTAATAAACAAAGAATAAATAACTACTTTTTTAAACACTATTTTTTATTAAATTATTTATTTACAATGCATCGTAAAAACAAAACATGAGATATATAGTAAAACATTTGTACAAAAGTCGCTGACATGATTTGAATGATCAAGTCATACATGTATTTGACTTGTGTTTATATGTACCAACTTAAAGTTCCTGCGGTATTACACATTTTTCGTCTATTTTAACATCTCCAACTATCATTTGTACGAAATCAATTATTAATCTTTTTTCTTTTTAAAGGTAAATAATTCATCTATCTTTCTGGTAATATCAAACACATAATCCATGGTAGGGTTTCTAAAGCTGATAGCAAACTGTTCCTTGATTGACTCCCTGTAAAAAAAATTTAAAAAGAAACTGCAATCAAATACCAATCACAGTCGCCTAGTAACATTTATTAACAGTGCAAATAAAGTAATCAATCAAATTTGCTTGAAGAGATTTTATTACATTTATACGGTTAATATGGAGGTCTGAAAGGGACATCAGGTATATTTTTCCTATTATGTTTGCACATATTGAAAATAATGATAATTTTTTTCTTTTACAAGTGTATGTAATAAGGGTAGCAAAATGTTTCCTTTACTTGTGCATGTGTATTATGTTTTTTACATTATGTGTGGAAAGTCTCATGGTGACCTATTACAGTCCCATTTTGTCTGGCGTCAAGCGTCATTTATGAGTCCATACATTTTTTGACTGTTTTTTACATCTTCTGAAAATCCCATTAACTAACTTTCCATCGCCAGACGTTAGCCAAATTAATAAATTATATTGTCCCCAGCCCCAAGGGAACTGAGGGGTGGGGTCGAGAAAGTTTCAGATTGACTGAATTTTCAAAAACCCTTCTACTCAATACCCAAATAAGGTAGAATCAAATAGTCTTTGTGTATTAAGTGGTCCTAAGGTGTTTTTCTCTGGCTGACCCCTAGGGGTTGATGTGTGTGACCAAAAAGATTCAAATTGACTGAAACTTCAAAACTCTTCTCAATACACACATTTTATAGAATCAATAACTATTCAATGATGGATGGGTCTGAAAGTAATACTATTATATCTCTGTACAAATAGGATTTCTCATTTTTCATTCTTTATACTATACATTCATTTCAATTTTTTCAGTTTGTAAGTTTACTCAGGTGATCCTTTTGGGCCCTGGGCCTGTTTTGCTATTGTGTTAATGTACTGATAATAAAAATAGTTAAGTGTTTTTCCCATTACATGCCAATATGATAATGAGAGTGTGTATATCTTTTTTTCCTTCATATACTATGTGCATACATAATAAGAAAAAATATACCTGGATTTCTCTTCTGTACCTCTGTAAGTTCATGTATTTATTCATTTTTATACCTTTTTTTTTTTTTGTTTTTTTTTTTTTTTTGGTAAAATTCAGCCCCAGCACATACTGATACAATATTGGTTTAAGATTTATTGCAAAACAATTTTAACAATATATATTTTTTTTAGAAAAGGAATGAATGATCCTACTAATACTGATTTCTGCTGGTTCTGTACATGACATGGCCAATGTTGTAAAATTTGATTCATAATTACCTGTTAACTGTCTGAAATGGAAAAAGAAAAAAAATATACATTTTAGATAAAACAAAAGGCTCATAGGACTGCATTACTCATCTAACATTCAATGCTTTATACAAATACTCAAACAGTTTACATCATTGACATTCAAAGTCTGGTTAATTAGAAGACGTATCTTGATGCCATGTTTCAACAAATTTGACCCTTGTGTTCTTGCATGTGTTCAAGATACTTTCTTTTCCCAAACACTGTTGGAGTCCATCCCTAAAATTCTGATTAATCAGAGAAAAAAAGAAGTCATTTGAATGTTTTTAAAGAAATTTGACTCCTGAGACCTTCAGTATGGTCACGGTCATTTCTTTGTGTAAATTTTGTGGCACTCCATCTATATCCAAGGAATCTACCATTGTATCAGCCAATAATATTGATTCTGGGCCTTTGGTTAATCAGATGAAGTATAGTTTTAAGGTAAAACTTATTTCTTTTCACAAGCTGTGTCTGGCTTCATCGTAGGTAGCTATATCATGATTCTAAACATTTTTAGTTCAGCATTCAGAAGTCATTGGAGCATTTTGAGAAATGACATGGATCAAGGTCATTTTACTCACAAGCAATGCCAAAATTCATACAAGGAAGCTACCAGCCAAACATGGTGACATTTGACATTTTAAGTTTTTGAAAAGTTTCAAGAGATATTGATGCAGATGGATGACAGACAGATGCAGTATCACAGCTCAATTAAAATTAAATCCACATGTTTTTGTAATATTCATAAAACATAATATGTGAAACTGTTTCTGTTAGACCACAAACAAAAGGAACTTTTCTGCTTCACCTTCAAAGTTTTGTTGTACTCATTTCCACATGATCAAATTGCTATGCATTATGTTTCTTGTGATTGAAGCAAAGCCTGATCTTTTTTTTCACATTTAACTTTAATGCATGCCTAGAATTGGGTATGGTCAATCCAAAACTAGTGAGTAAATATCTGAAACATTTATTATCACCTGTTATAGACTTCACACATTTAGCAACCATTTCAACTTACCTTTAATTTTTTTTCAATAAGACCTTCAAACATATAATCTCTGTTTCCGAAAACATACACACAAAATGGAAAGGACATATATGCTGCCATCTGTAAATAAGAGAATAATTAAATTTTATGTATTACATTATCATATTTAAATTTTCATAGGAATGTCTCAGTTTAATCTAACCTGGAAGAATAGCTGCCTTTTAAGTAAGATCTAAAACCAAAGTTTTCTCCAATTTCAGTTTTTCTTATTTTGGTAACAAACATTTAATTGGAAAGTAAATTGTAAAATACCAAGAAAACACTGTTGAAAGTTCTTTCGATTTATCATCTTAAATGGATTTTCTCTATTTGTGGAAAAGGGCTGTTTAATAAAGACAAGTTTCGCTCGCTTCAATGTATCTATTTTGTCATAATGTCTGTCATTTCGAGAGTCTAATAGTGGAATGCCAAATACCATAACAAAATGACCGAAAACACAATGAGAACAAAGAAAACCTAGACCATTGGCTAACAAAGGAGGTACCAATGGGAACAATTTAGAAACTGGCCTATGACAAAATCTAGGAATAATCAAACCAAATAAATTGAAATAATGAGGTCAAAGAAAGAAATTACACATATTGCATTATGAAATCAATGTTTTTATATACGTGGACTAATATTATGTCTGCTATACATCATGTAAGCCATCCACAAGATCTGCAACTTATATATATCTGATTGGCAGCACAACCTAGATTTCATAATCTTTAAGACAGAGATAATTTCAAGGATTTAAATTTAGTTTCTAGAAAAAATCCATATATAAATATGTATTTGAAAAGAATAAAATCAACATGACAAATGTATTCCGCTAATGCTAATGTATTGCCTGAAGATGGCCATTAGGCCTGAAAACATTAGCAGAATACTTTTGTCGTGTTGATTTTACTCTTTTCAAATATTTTATTGATACACAAAGCATCTTTGAGTTACATCCATATATATATATACTAGTATACTGCATGTCAGAAGGTAAGCTCACCTGTCCATGCATCAACATTCATCTTCATCTTCTTTTGGAAAACAACCACTAAGCAAATATGCATATTGCTTTATATAAGTGAAGATTCTGACCAAGTTTCCTACAGGTGCATACATTACACATTTTGATGGACAGATGTCTGGTCAAAATTTGCACTTGGTGACATATCAGTCAGAAAACGGTAGGTTTATGGCTTTTTTGTCGAAAATACTTCTAATGGCACTGTATTCGAGTTTGAAACTATGTAAATGCATGCTGGAAAATTAATTGTTTTGAAGCTACTGTTGAACTTTCACTCTGTAAGTATATATTAAGTCATGATGATGATCAGGTAACCCGAAATCCTTAACTGTAAATAATCGTTTATGACAAATTATGTACATTTTTAAGACATTGACGTAAACAGATCGCCTTTGTCCATTACTCAAAACATATGTTTGACGTTCTGCAGTTAAGAATATCAAAATTCCCATAAAGTATATCAACGTACCACAGGAGCCCGATTTCAGTTTTAAAAATGATGAAAGATGATTTAATGTCAGCACAAAAAAGAGCGAATTCTAGCATAATATCTTGGGGGATCTGGTTACTTTTTCCTTACGTAATTTAGCTATATCACATTTTCAATGTCACTTTATGACATGAGAAGACAAACCGCACAAATATACCGTATACTTTTACCTTTATAATTTCTTTGTAAGCTTGTCTACGTGTCATAGGCATAATGATAGTTGAAGTATGAAAACCGAATGCAATTGTCAGTTGTCAGCAGTCACCTCGACATGTCCACCGGAAGTTTGCGTGTAGTATCTAAAAACTCGATGCGAATGATTTAATATTCCGAAAGATTTGATAAACGAAATGATAATCGCAAAGTGATCGTGAAATCAATGTTGTAGTTATGAAAAAGTGTTTTTCAATACCTTACAACTGAATATATCAACATGTAAAATATCGATCTGATTCTGATACCAAAAAATAACAGAATTAAAAAAAGGCGTTTGAGGGGAGATCACTCGTAAATTCGTATGTACCACTTTTCATCATGTGCTGCACAACAAAGCAAAAGGGCGCATGATGATTGGCCTGTTACAACACATGTAAATGATACAACATCCCTTTGTAACTAATAAAAAAACAACCGATAAAAATAACTCACTTAAATATAAGGGGATCTAGAGTTTTTAGATATTGTCTTCTCAATATAAAAGACAAGGTTAGGCAGAACTCGCTTAATTTATCAAATTATTAATTTTATTTCATTTTATTTTCCCCTATGGAGCAGTAGCTGCCTACTCTCACGGAACATGTGGTCTTATTCTCCTTTTACTTCATATTTTTCCTCGGTTTCATCCAATCTGAATTTGAATTTTCTTCGCTGTTTTTGGAAACCAATGCATTATCCGTTTAATTCATGTGTTTGTATCAAGCCATCTATTATCGGTTTTGTAGTGATCACAGTCCGCAAGCGTATTGCAATGGCAATGTACCTGTATCGGCTTACAGTTTCGCATTCACCACCACCACCAATTTGTGTAAATTGATGAATGCATGGACAATCAATTAAGTTTCGGTAAAACGAGGTCTTTGATATAATTATAATGTTATAAAACGATTCATGAAAAATATTCTAATAAGAAAGTTAAAAGATTTAACAGTAAAAATTAACGAATAATTAATTAATTAAATAAATAAATAAATATCAAGGTCTAACGGAAATGACGTTCACTAATTCATAAGTACAATCTAAATGAACATCAGATATTATACACAGATCACGTATACGCACTTAAGGTGTGCTATACCTAAAATTTCTCTCTCTAAACTTACTATTAATATCAAGATGTATTACTCTGTTATTAATAATTGCATGTTTGTAATTTCGTTTAGTTTATTTTTTGTAAAAAATAAACTGAAATTATTGTACTCATTGCAGCGTCTCCTTTTGTGATTGGTGCCGTACCCATCAACTGAAATAAATCCAAGTTAACGATAACCTGGTTTAAACTGCAGTGCAAAATAGTTTAACAAAAACAATTTTACTTTGCCACCTAAAGCAGCATTAGATGAAAGAATGAAAGATGACATACAATTGGAATAAATCGAGGTGGTGTGCATGTTTAATGACAGCCATTTTGGATTCTGCTTCTTGATTTCTCAGTTAATGCAGCGTCTGAACCAAACCGCGCTTGTTGACGAGCGTCCCAGTTCTGACATCGAAAGACTACAGATACAGAAAACACACTCTATGAAGATAGGCAAACCATGTCCTATTCACCACTGCCAACAGACTGAGCGGATAGTGGAACGTCAATATTCGCGTTAACTGGCGTACCGTCAACAGACATTTTAACAATAGACGACCTCGCCTACACTGTACCAGTAGAATGTTCTCTCGTGACTGCAAAGTACGAACAAACAAGATTGCAACCGGCACGTGATTATAAGATATTGAATATAAGGTCTTAGTGAAGAGTCCACTGCTTTTACTCAGTCCGACAGACGGCAGGGTCCGTGTTTAGAGACCAAGAAATACGACATACATGTACCATCAGAATCGCATTCTGGTGGCGGTGTTTCTGTTTGGAATGCTTTTCTCTAAGCCGTAAACTTCTACTGCATGTCATTGATGGAATTTTAGATGGACAGAAGAGCTGTGATCAGACACTTCGACCTTTAGTTAATTCGCATTTCGATGCCGATCCATTGGCATATCTACCTATCCTAATTACGGGATAACAATGCCAAACCACAGAGAATCCGCCGAGTTCAAGACTATCAACAAGAAGTATAAGAGACGCTCCTATGGCCTGCATTTCACAGCTGATTGATCACGTGTGGGACTAGGGCGGACAAAAAGTCAACGCATTGGATACATAATGCCAAACACTGTATTCAGGAGAAGCAGAGGCTTCCTCAGGCGGTCACAAACATTGTACCAGAATCGCGACCTGAACTTGACATTTTCACACCCAATAAACCCGTTGATTTGTTCATCTTCTTGATAAAGCAACATGTTTCGATGGTTTGATAGCGTTAATAAGAGTCAATCAAAGCGAATCCTTTTTCTAGACTTTGGGAATGCCTTTTTGAGCACGTCTGTTTAAAGTAATACAACACTTCCGGTTCTTTTCCTATCGGCTGTTTATAGTTTGTTAGATGCCTAAAACACTCCCATAACCTGTTGAGCTGTCGTGGAATTATTTTTCCTAAATACAGATAACAAAATTGAATCATTTATATCCTTTGCAAAATGCCAAGGGAATTTAGATAGACATAATATCAGCAGTAAACCAATCTGTGACTGTTCTATATAAATTGACAAGAGCTTTGCAGGCTAGTGTGCAATATATTAATATTGTCACTTAAGTCCGTAGTAATATACGTTTGTAGAATTCTGTCATTTGAAATGGGCATATCTGCTAAAACAAGACTGGCCGTGACGTTAAAGTATTTATAGCCATGGAAGGCTTCCGTACAATCAATGTGTACGTTTCTTACACTCCCTAACACGTGTTCTAGAGTGAGTGTAATTAAGGAGATTGTCGTTAAATACGTATACATGTACAAATAAGCTAGCACCAGTACCTGTGGGCTCTCCACTTACCGAAGTTTCTTATTCATACACTTTACACTCAACGACACTAAAGTTACATGACCCCGAGAGACATATCCTCGGTTGATGCACTCGTCAGAGCATGGACAGGACTTAAAACGTTCTGGGAGGAACAGTTTTTAAATTTCCGGTGATGAGAGTTGATGGCTTACTGCTATCTTGTCAGGGCTAGGCGTGAAAGAGAGCACTTCCTCGTGTATACAATGCAAATAAGATGACACAGGCGTTTGACAGATGTTAGATTAAATAGAAAATGGAGGAGTATAATCATTCGGATGGCGCAGTGGATAGCCGGATCACAGACGACTGGGGTTCGATTCCTCATTAGGAGAGTAATGGATCCTTTTGTGATCATGGAATCGTTCGAGCAAATCGCTTATATTCCGGTATTTTTTTTTTTATCTGATTCGATATTAAGTCATTTGTTACTAGTATTCGAAATTTCATGATCAGAAGCAAAACGTATATAAATATACAAGTAAATATATCACTGAAGAATTCTTGAAAGGAAAAGAAGACAAATGAAAAACATCTTTCAATATAAATTTAGAATTCGATACATTTGAGATAAAGAATTTAAATACATACAACTAGGACTTTCTAGGACTCTTCATTGATGGTGAGAGCCTAAATTCTGAAAAAAACTAGGTGGTGGCTTGGAATAACTAATGATTTAGATTAAATGTGTGTGTGTGTGTGTGTGTGTGTGTGGTTTGTGTGTGTGTGTTTTTAGTGGTGGTGTGTGTGTGTTTTTGGTGGTGGTGGTGTGTGTGTATGTGTGTTATATTCCTCCATCCCCTTAAGAGGTATAATGAACATCAGCCTTTGTCAAATACCTGTGTGTTTGTTTTGCATGATGCATGCCGTCAGCGTTCTCAAATTGCTCTGCTGGGTGCATTTTGGGCGACAGATAGAGTACTCACTCATCAGTCAAGTGGTCCCGGTCGGTGCCACGCGCTATCGAAAGTTTAGACAAGAGGCATGCGCCCCTTTTGGTGAACACGCGACAACTAAACGTTAACATCAACATACCAGTTTTTTTATGAAATGCATTATTGATTCAAAACATTAAAACTCATTAGCATTAGATAATCATTCATATGTCCATGTGTAAAGTTTGTAGTTGTTTCATGGTAACACTATTTCAAAGTACTGTATCCAATTGTTTGTATGTCCGATAGGCAAAGCTTAAGAATTGTACCTGTTTCCCCCTTTGCATGATCGTACGAGGCGACTAAACTTAGTGTACCTATACATTCTCTTCTTTCAAAACAAGCTCCATTGGCCTCCATTGACCTTGATTCACCGATGGCCATTAGCTGAGCCTTCAGCGCTGTGAGAAAGTTTTAGGTTCTGTCCCATGGCCGAAACATTCCAGTGTCTTTAAAATGATACATGTAGTTCCTAATCCCTGCCTAAGTTGCAGTATTTTGATAGTATAACCCATATAAGATACTTTCATTTACTCGAAGATGTGAACGAAGAAGGGTTTGGTTAATTCATTCAAGTCCAAGCAATAAAGTACGCGAATGCGTCTGTGTTATATTTCTATATTTGGAGAACAATGAGACTATCCCTTCAAGTTTGAATTCACGTCTTTTATGCTTTGGGAAAGTCTTAATTTATATAGAGGTGTAATAACCTGTAGGAGCAATGATATAGCTTTATTTTATGTAAATTAAATACATTGTATCCTTAAATCAAGTCTGTGAAGCCGACAAAGAAACATATTGAAGATTGACAAAAATAATCCAGCACAAATTCTAGTATGGATATAAAACAATCTTAAGAAGCACCATGGAAACTACATTTGATCTTACCGTAGATTTCTAATTTAAATGCTATTAAGATTACGTTAGAACTTGTAACAGTATTGTATTAAACAGACAAAGAAATGTTAGTAACATACCATTCAAAATATCATTATAACGACACACCTTCAGGATAGCCTGGTGACGACCAGCCGTTAACCTAAGCTAGTGAGATTCGCTTCTTGAATAAGACGTAAGAAAGTTTGCCTGCCCGACCATGTTAAAGTTATCCGCTACTCCGAGCGCTGCCATATGTAAAAATCAAGAGTGATTTTGTATACGCTGATATGATATGTTTCCCAAGTGTAGCAAGATAAATTAGCTTTTTATAGTTTTCCTTTTCATCTACCGAAAAGAGGCG